TACATACTTGCTATTAAAATCATGTGAAGGTTTCGAAAATTTAATAATTGACTTTTATAATAATAGACATATTAGAAGTGATAATGATGGTATGTTAAATGAATCCGATTAGATTTTAGCTTTGAAAGTTAAACGATTTTTGACATCTTTTTATGAGACCACAAAGATTTTATCCGGCGTTTATTATCCCACAAGTTGTATGGTGCTTGAACGCCTTTATATAATTGCAAGAACATTCCATAAATATAAAAATGATCCTACTTTTAGTGAAATTTTAATTGCTATGGAATTAAAGTTTAAAAAATATTGGGAAGAACTGCCTATGTTTTTTCTTTTAGCATGCGCAATGGACCCCCGATATAATATTTCGGGAACTAAATACGTAATTGATCAAATCAATAAAACTTTAATACTTGATACACCTATCACCTATAAGAATTTAGAGCAAATATTATGTGGAATGTATGATTTATATGCGGAAAGAATGGGTGCAAATATTAGTCGGGTACCCTTTGCTGCACCTACTCCTTCTGCTGAAACTGAAAAAGATGCTACGGAAATAATGAATTTATTTCAGGGCATTAATACATTTAGATATGATGCAACTACAATGTGTTCATCTATTTCCATGTCGTCTACATCTGCATTTCATCAAACATCAGCCGAAACTCAAAATGCGATGCCTGTCGAATTAATTGATTATTTCAATCATAATATGCCAACAGACAGAACAATTAAAAAAACTTCAGAAGAAGTAATTGAATTCTGGCGAAAGTATGAAAGACGTTGGGCAATTGTTTTTGCAATTGCGAAAGATCTATTGACACCTCCGGTTAGCACTGTTGTTTCGGAGTCTGCTTTTAATGCAAATAAAAGTGTTTTGACTGATGTCAAGAGCCGACTGAAAGAAGATATTTTGGAAGCGTTAATGTGTGTGAAGGATTGGCAGTACGCTCATTTTCGACTACAAGATAAATACGCTGAAATTGCATGTCGTCAGGTAAGTGATATTTGATTTAATTATATTAATCAATTTTTTTTTTATTTTTTAATCGTTAAATTTAATTTTCTTTAAAAAATTGTACACGTTACAACAAATTGTTCGTGTACAATTTTTAACTCCGCCTACTTAAAATTGATGTAGCCGGTTCTAAATCCGGATAAAGGAGGAGGGTTTACATTTTATTAACTTTAAAAAGAAATCAAAAAAAAAATTTATAAATGTATTTCAAAAAATAATTCGTTTTCATTATATAAATATTTTATACTTTATAAAAAGTATTACAAATTACAATATAATATAAATAAAAAAAATAAAAACTTGTTTTCGTTAAATTATTTGTATTTTTTAACACTTTTTATTTTTAAAACTCTATTCTTTATTAACTTTAAAAAGAAATCAAAATTTTTTTTTTTTGTAAATGTATTTCAAAAAATAATTCGTTTTCATTATATAAATATTTTATACTTTATAAAAAGTATTACAAATTACAATATAATATAAATAAAAAAATAAAAACTTATTCTCGTTAAATTATTTGTATTTTTTAACACTTTTTATTTTTAAAACTCTATTCTTTATTAACTTTAAAAAGAAATAAAAAAAATATGATATAAATAAAAAAAATAAAAACTTGTTTTCGTTAAATTTTTTGTATTTTTTAACACTTTTTATTTTTAAAACTATATTCTTTATTATATATATATATATATATATTAAAAAAAATAAAAATATAGCCGAGCCCACGAGCAGAAGCTCGGCTTGGCCCACGAGCTCATGGGCCGGGCCGAGCCGAGCTCGAGCTCGACTAGTTGAAAACGAGCCAGGAGCACGAGCCGAGCTCGTGGCATTAAGGGCTGAGCCGGCTCGAATTGGCCCATTGCCAACCCTAAGCATGAGCCTCCATAACATATTATTGGCCTGTTTGAGCTACATTATTTTAAAAAAATGCATTCTTAAACAGTGATTGGACATCATTTCAACCACACATTCTTCAATAAAATAATATTACACGCAAATAAAAAAATTTCTTATTTTTTAACCACACATTTCTCATCAATACACTATTCAAGAATGCATTATTACTAAAATAATGTGGCTAAAACACTCCCGATATGTTATTCATTCATAGGAAAATATGCATGCAATATTTATAGTAAT